GATTCGACAAGTGCAACACATAAGGAAATAATTAAGCTACTTCAAAACGTTTTACTCAACAAAAAAACATAGAAATGTAATAATGTTTGTTGGAAGGAAACCGAAGGAGAGTATTTATCTACACAAAGCAAATAAGATTTGTTATAATATAATTTGTTGCAGGTGTTTTATAAAGCATTGCAAATCCCAAATAAATTGGTCAACGACAAAAACAAAATAAAATAATGATGAAAGGTAAATATAAAATCGCGAGATTTAGTTTAGCAATCGTTATTTTTCATCTATGTAGAAGTATGGTAGACAACGTGAGGATAATGGGCAAATACAAAAATAATGCAGATGAAAGAACTATATATAAAAACTAAATAATATATTTTAAGCTTAGTAAGTGTATGTCGATATTTTTCATAAGAATAAAATAAAATAACAAACATGATAGAGTATGCAGCGTATAAAGAAAACTTCTTAGTTATACGAGTTGATAACAACAAAATGTAAAATTTTGCTAAGATAGTTTTTGAATTAAAAAGTAAAAACATTTACAGAACCATCTGCAATCATAAAGAAGGTAAGATGATATTGCACCTTGAACGCATGATATTATGAATCGCTTCCATAGGAGTTGCAATTGACACTTCGACTTATGAATAACATCGTACAATTGATTAACTTAGGTTGTGGGTTGCAAACCCTGTAACCTAGCGCGTGAACATCAACGAGCACTGGCTGATGCATGGCTGTACACACACGCACTTCCCTTGGTTGTGGCACGGTAAGAGCTATAAATATTGTGTGCACTACCAAATAGATTTAGTCAAGGATTGTTGTAGGTCATAGGGTTGTCTGAGTATGTTGGTCATAGGTTGTTATGATGATCTCCACTGTTTTGCATATCATACCATTTGAGATTGTAGTACATATGGTTTAACACAATTATGCCATGATGATGTGCATGGGTTCAAGTCTGACTTGGAACTTCGTTGGTGGGTTTCTAACCCACATAAACCTATCATACATAAAATCGAAAACTCTTATACATCATAACCTACATACATACATATATAACTTAGAGACTCAAATATAGTTTATAGGCACACACATAGCCTATGGGCTCGTATACACGGTCTTTTGACACACACACACACACACAACCGATGGTCAACCTACAAAATAGTTACAATGTCAGGTAGTCTCCGATATCTGTCAGAGGTGTTATATACTAAATATGAGTTTGAGGGGAATATTAGACATAATCAGTGATATGATGGGTAGGGTTAGGGTAGTATGTGAGGCCAAAAAAAACACCGCTTGAGTGTGGCATTCGAAGTACCCATGTGGCAAGGCTCGTCTGATCAATTGGAGTTATATGGGGTTACTTACCTATCTTTGATACCTATAATGATTGTCCGATCCAAATCACCCTCTGAGATGGTGAGATGATTGTCATGAGTGGCTAACACTGAGGTAAGGTAATAGGAATAGGGATACGGTAAGAGGATTTGTCAGAGGATGGATAAAGAGGCGATATTATAAAAATAAAGTGTCAGGATAATTAATAGTTGACTGCGACAACTATCTCTACAACAACTTGGGTTTTTCATATGAGATGAACAAAATATATACAAAACCTTGGGGATGCATGGACTAACTAATAAATTTTGAGACTGATCGGACGAGATTTTGTGAAGTTTTTGAAAGATCATTATGATGGAGAAGGAACGGGGCACCTTTGGTTTTGATTTACGGTTTTTGTTTCAAATAATAAGAGTAAATGAGAATCGCGCTTTTTGAAAATGTATAAGGTTTTTATTAACAAATAAAATTTAAAAAGACAATTTGTAACGGTAATGAAAAAGAGCGGGTTAACAAACCTTAACTAATATAACATTTTATAGGCTATCACAATTTGAATTTTTATGATAATCTACAAAACATTATGAAAATAATTTTATAATATGGCTAACGCTGCTCATATGCTAAGAAATGACCTTACATGGAACTTCAGGTGTGGGGTATATTAATATATGAACAAGACTAAAATAAAACCAACAAAATTTTTCATAAACAAATTGTGATAAACAAAAAAATAGTTTTCATGTTCTTTCTAATAATTTTCTAGCAGCAAGGGACATCTACAATCAATAGTATAGATCCCGTAGTAAATTTTTTTGACTATTCTCTGCTTCAAAAATTAAAGCAAATAAAAATTGATTAAATTTTATTTTTAAAATAAATTCAACAATGTAAAACCTTTAATTTTATTGGATAAAATAAGGGTGGTAACCTAGAGAAGAAAACAAAAATCTCATTCTGATATATGCCACCAATTAAAAAAATATAAAAGAGACTAACTGCTTTATAATACAAATCAAATAGCGACAATATCATAAAAAATATCCGAAGGTCATAAAAACAATTGAGATTATATGTATGCAAATATGCAACACTTTTTATCAACCTTTAACTGTAAATGGGGATAATAAAAATAACCTATATAACTTTAATCGTTGCATAATGCATTATGAAGTAGTATACAGTATGATAAAAAAAATAAAAATAAAATTAAGTGAGAGCATCGTGCATATGTACATATAAAACCATTTTATCATCAATTTGTTGCAATATCTCATACGATGTTTTTTTCTTTATATCCCTATTATTTTCAGCAAGTCATAAAATGTGTGGTTTGAATGTTAAGGTTTAAGTTTGACAAGTCTTAATTTTATTTTTTTGATTTTTTCACCATTTTTATTAACGACAAGTAAAAATATTTAATCTAAAAAAATATATATATTTTTTATAAGTGGAGCAAAGATTGCAACCCTAATATTTAATGAACAAAAAATATATAAACAATCAACAATTCGATTAAAAAAAATAAAATTCATAAAGGTTAATTAAGATAATAAAGTCTGCAATGGTTGATAACATATGCAATATATTCAGTCAAGCTTTAACTCTTGATAAAGACAATAAAAATAACCCAAATGACTATAATCGTTATGTAGTACGTTATGACCATAAAAATAAAAACTCGGTACATTGTTTAGTACAATGCAAGAAAGTTACGACATACTAGGTGAGAACATCGTATATATGAAAATCACCTTGTCATCAAATTTTTAAAAACTCATACAAGTTTTTATTTGGATTAACATCTCTGTTACTATCAGCATACCATAAAAAATATTGTTTTTAACGATAAGGTTTGAATCCGACTTTTTTTATTTTATTTTTTCACAATTGTTTTTAGGGTAAGTAGATATAATATAAAAAAAAAGGTTTCTTAAAGTAAATGAACAAGTTTGCAACCCTTATATTTGTTTAACAAAAACACCTTGTTGTCAAAAAAATAAGAAATTACATATTAAAAAAAATTGCATTATAGATTATTTAGACATGAGAATTTATGTTGTACATATAAACGTAACCATCTTATGTTTGTGTCATGAAATTTTAACATTATTGGTATGCCCAAACTCCGGTTGACACCCCCTAAACTAATGTTGTGCTCAAGTAATGGGGTATGAAAATTATCAACATGTTCAAGCAAAACGTGAATCGCACAAATTATTGACATATACCGGTCACATCTTTGAAGGGATTATCGGTATACTTAATGCTATTTTGCCATTAATAGTCCATACAAACCTGCTTCCTCATCCTCTCCCTCTCTTTATGATATATATACGATTGTGCACTAATGAATTGTCTCCTTCCCTATCTTATTGCACATAAGTGTGTTGTCATGTTTGCTAAACCAAACTTTATCAACGGCTCGAGGATGGGGCTGGGAAAGTGTCGTTCGTCATAGCCCCGCCTCCCTCTCCCTCATCCTCCACTTTCTCTCTCTTTCTTTCTCTCTCTCGCATGCATGTACCAAAAAAAAAAGAAAAAAGAGAGAGAGAGAGAGAGAGAGAGAGAGAGAGAGAGAGAGAGAGAGAGAGAGAGAGAGAGACCCACAATTGTACATACCTTCGTCCTGGGTTCAACAACAATTTTGAGGGCCCCAAATTATGGGCCCATGGGACTGGACATACCAAAAGATGGCAAAGGGATAAACAGGGTACAGCATGAAGTCCAGTGAGGCCTGGGGAACAATGAAAAGATGGGCGCTGTCCTAGGTGCAATGCAATGTTTATTTATTTAATTTTTTTCCAGTGTTGTGGAGGCCGGGGTTTGTGATAGGGGTTCTGTCTGGACAAGAGACGATCAATCCCATGGAGTGTGCAGGACTATGTGGGGATGTCTCTAAGGTTGGGTCCCACATTCTAATGTTTTCCTGAGTCTTGGAGAGTCTGGTCTCCACCGCGAAATTAGGAAGAGCACCATTTTGATCAGATATGGCCATATGCAGGTTCCAAAGGGTACTCTACTGGAAAACGGCGTAGAAATGGCCGTTCAGAGATGGGAGCATGGGAGGAGAGCAGTCCGTGCCTGATGAAAAGGCTGGAGCAATAACAGGGGGGGGAATACTTGGCCTCCAGTTCGACCAAGGTCGGGGGGGGTACTTGTTGTGGAACACAAATTTTTATGCCCCGTTGCCGTCCAATGAAGAACCACCGAAACCGCCATTAGCTTTGCACCTTGAGAAGAACGTGGGATGTCCGAAACGGCCAAAGACAGACTCCCGCGGATGGAAGGTTGGATCCAACCCTAAGACAGAGGACACATCTATACCCACACACTCATTCGCGCCCTTCCCCTCGACCTCACTGGCCACATGCGAGCAGTCTAGCCGCCCGCACACGCCCCGCCGTCAGAGAATACGATGCAAAGTTTCCCACCAAAGAGTACCGATTGAAATCCGAAGGGAGAGCACGAGAGATCCCGCCGTAAGCAATACGTGTCTGCAGGGCAGGGGGCAATCATAAACTCTTCGCCTAAAGGGACAGACGGAAGAGGCAGTAGGCGTATCCAAGTGAGAAAAGGGTTCAGATACGCAACGCAATCTTGAGTCTTGAGCGCGCGGCAAACGCAGAGCGCTATGCGTGAGGCGGCTACGACAAAAGGAAAACTCGAGCGCGACGGGTAAGAAAAGAGCAACTTCCGCAGAGAAAGTTAGGGCGGGCGGCGAAATATGTAATGAACGCGGGCGAAACGAATCGACCCTCATGGTCACTTTTGCCACGTGGGCAAGGGAGCTCTCGGCGGGAGGAGAGGCAAGGCACGCACACTTACTCATTTGTGTGTGAGTGCGGCTGTGTCCACGTCATCGTTCGTCTCCACTTCCAACGGTCTCCGCTGGTCTGCTTTTGACGGCAACGCCGCACGAGGAGCGCAACTGGCGGCCGCCAGTCCAGAGACAGACAGGTCTTCGTGTAGGGTGCGGGGAGGACACGTGGCAGCATAGCTAACGAGTTGTGGATTCAGAGATCGTTCGCACTTGGAGGCAAAAACTTAACTATAACTGCGCACCTACTCGTTTGTGTTTGGAGGGACCGGACCTATAGAAGCTCTCTGGATGAGCGACAGGGTCTGTGGTGAGGCTAGTTTGTTGTGGGATGGTCTAGGGTCATAGACAGAGGAGAGCTTGCGAACGGTGAAGGACGCCATAGCCGCGGAGAGACTGTAGGAAACGGTCTCGGCGACGAAGGGGGTGTTTCAGACGGCCGCAGCTGACGCCAGTTTTTTCCATCAACAGAACTATCAGACCCTCGGGAGCGTATACCGGTGAGTTGATTCTACGTGCGTGGTTGTGTTCGTGCTGCTTACCCACCACACCCACCCGCTTTTCGTCCACCATCTTTCTGCTTCTCCTCTTTTTCCTCCTCCTCCTCTTCATACTGCCTGCTGCTCTCTTCCCCTCTCTCTACGCTATCCGTCCTCTTCCTTCTTCCGGCTTCCGGTCTTAGTACTCCTGTGCCTCCTCCTCCTCCTCCCTCCCTCCCCTCTCCCATCTTCGAAGCAAAAGTCGGCCGTACAAGCCGTACAACCGTACAAGCGGCAACCTGACGTCCTCGTCTAGTCCGTCGCAGGATAGGACGCGTTGTCTGCGGTGTTGTCCCACTGTTCCAAGGAACTGACCTGCCGTGGTCAGTCTATCTTTGGACTGCCTGATTGAGGAATTCCAGGATGAGCCAGCTGGAGTCCTACGTGCTAGGCGAGCCTGGTGATCGTAGCTAGGCGGGACGCTGTTGCCTGCTGCGTATATTACAGTACTAGGTATGCGGACGTTTAAACGATCCGATAGCAAGTAGACCGCCATGCGCTATGTAGTACGTGGTTTTTTGTATCTAATAGCAAATAGACCACACCGTGCACTATGTACGTGGTCTAATGGATCGCGAACACTTGATCACTTGTCCTAGTAATCGCAGAAGGAATGGCGGGAAGAAAGGCAGGCGACGAGAAAATGGCGGGAAGAAAGGCAGGTGACGAGAAAATGGCGGGAAGAAAGGCAGGTGACGAGAAAATGGCGGGAAGAAAGGCAGGTGACGAGAAAATGGCGGGAAGATGATGAGAAAGCTTCGCACTGCGGTGCGGTGAAATGAGCCGGCGATGGAGAAAGCAAGTAAAATAGACGGAGAGGCCACCTATCGATAACGAGCCGTATGATTGGCAGCAGGATCCATCCGTCGCTCGGAATTCACCTCTGCCCATTCCTTCACACTGTTCACAGGCTCAAACTTTTCCTTGGTGGGGCATGCTCTCGCTTCTCCATCCCTCTCCTTCCAGACTACCGTCTTCACCCGAATAGAAAACGCACACCCTTATAGCCGTATTTTGTGCAACTTTCAGTCTACATACACAGCCATAATGACCGGGCGCTCTATTCGGGTGAAGACGGTACCGACGCTTCTCGAAATAAGGTGGTGCACAAGACTCTTAACCACGCTCTCGTCTATCTGTAGTTGCTGCATAGACTTGGATATCGAAACACAAAAGAAAAAGAAATAGCTGAGTAGTGTCAAACCTCTTAACTAACTCGTTAACTAACTAGAGATATGACGAGCGGACTTATAGCACACCTTCAGAAATGAAATCAGTTACGTGCATCTGACGATGATAATGGTGATGACGATGTCGAGTTAGCTAGAGAGATGGTGATGGCGATGACGATGGTAATGGTGATGACGATGATAATGATGGCGATGGTGATGGCGATGAGTGGAATCATTAGTGCTTGCCGAGGAGAAGAAGCGTAATAGTCCGCTTCAAGCTTGTGAGACACGCATGGAGCGATCAGATTGATTTCTTTCGGAATTGCACTAGCGGTTTTTCCCCTCTGATAGCAGGCGCCATTCTATTCAATCTTTTTCTTTGTCTTCTCTTCCTTGTATGAACTTGCATAGTGCTTCCTGAGTGCGTGCCATCATGGGCGCGCATTTGCGTGCTGCCTACCGTCTTCCCCCGAACACAACGCACCCTTTTTTTGACTGTATCGGGTCGGACACATGCCTTGCATACGTTCATTTTCAGGGTGCGTTATGTTCGGGGGAAGACGGCAGTGCTGGTGTATGTGGGGGGGGGAGGGGGGTGTTGAATTGGGGAGAAATTTCCATTTTCTCTGTTTAACGAGTACAACGTGCTCTACCAAGTGCCTCTCAACGGCAGAGGCAATTCGACAATCGATGCCTTGATCAACGCGCCGGCTTAGCCAGGAATGAGGAAGCGAGCGGAAAGTATATCGCAGCAGAACGACCGAGCTATGGCAAGCTTATCGATTTATATGATTGAGAGTAACTATAAATCCTTGACCTATATATCGAGCAGCTCGCAATGGAGAGCAGCCTGGGGGCCAGGAATAAGAAAGCGCAAAGGATGTTCACGAAGGAGGAAGAAGAAAGGAGAGGGATGAGAAAAAGGCAGAGGGCGAGGAGGAGGAAGAAATAGGATAAGAAAACAGAAGGGAAAGAGAAAGGGAAGGGATGAGAAAAAGGAAGAAAGGAGGGATGAGAAAAAGGAAGAAAGGAGAGGGATGAGAAAAAGGAAGAAATGAAAGGGATGAGAAAAAGGCATAGGGCGAGGAGGAGAAAGAGAGAAGAACGGGAGGGGGAGTTAGGAGGAGGAGGGGGGTAGAATGAGGGAACTGTAAGGGAAGGAGCATTAGGAAGGGGACGAATAGGAGGCGATGTACGAGGAGAAGGAACAGAAGCAGCAGGAGGAAAGACGAGTGACGATGAGGAGGGGATGTACAGAAAGGAGGGGATGTACAGAAAGGAGGGCAGGAGAAATAGGAGGAGGTAAGGACCACTAGAGTGATGATGATGATGTTGATGATGTTATTGATGATGATGATGTTGATGATGATGTTGATGACGATGTTGATGATGATGTTGATGATGATAGGTTGTCGGTTTGGCCGTCGGGCGGTACTGCTGAATGACTACTGGCGAGTGAGCTGGCTGTAGAAACTCGTTTCTGAAAAGGAGTTGGGGAAGGAGAAAACAGGCTGATGTTTGCTTGCGATGAGCTTTCTCAGTTATCCTGCTTATTAAAAAACATAAGAGGCATTCCGCTAAGGGAGCGGTTACGTGAAAGAAACGGACTAGATATGTCCTCAATTTCATGAATTGCTTTTCTCCCTGTCTTTCTCTATCTCGTCCTCGGTCTCTAGCTATCCAACGAACAGATCGAATACCGTTTGTACGAGCATCTGCGCGTGTGTGTGTGTGTGAGAGAGAGAGAGAGAGAGWGWGWGAGAGAGAGAGAGAGAGAGAGAGWGAGAGMGAGMGAGAGAGAGAGAGWGAGAGCGAGCGAGAGAGAGAGAGWGAGAGMGAGMGAGAGAGAGAGAGAGAGAGAGAGAGAGAGAGAGAGAGGAGTGGTGGAGTGGTTTCTAACTCCTTTTTGTCGCCCCCTGTACTTGCAGAAGGGCGCACACTCACACGCAGACACACACACACAGACACACAAACAGAGAGAGAGAGAGCTCATCCTTCTATCTCCCAACTTCATTTTTGGGGTAATACGGTGATGCAATCCGTTAATGGACCTCAACTGCGTATTGTAGAGCTCTCGGCAAAGGATTATCTTGACCCTCACAGAGCTACAGAGCACAGCAAAATGCGGTACTCTATTATCATAATTGCAGAGATTCCGATTGAACCATATATATACTTGTACCGCACTTGGAGTTTGAACGCTCTCCTCCTCGTCTCTCAGGTCGTCTCTCTCCTGATCAACATTGATTAGAGTCCCGATGACTCCGCGGCTTCTCGTCTTTGGTCGTTTCCCTCTCTCATGTTTCCCTACGCCCGCATGGAGAGCGGGCAAGAGAAAGATGCATCCACAGAACGCTATCATCTCATTCCTTCCGTCGGCCGTGTAGGCACTTCGAGAGCATGACTCGTACTGCTGGGGAGGTAAGACTTTTTGGACATATCTTTGGACGCAATTGTGGTCATATACATGCAGGACGTGCTGTAATTACGTTCAGATACATCCAGAAAAGAGTCCCACTGTAAGTATGCTGTGAGACGTCGCGTGCACGATGCGTAAGAAGACGATGTGTCAACTCAGATGATCGCGTATATACCCATGTGCTGACAAAGGCAGGGGTTGTTGTCCATTGCTGCTCGGCCCGCGCCCCCCCCCCCTCCCCCCGCGCCCTTAGTTCGTTCCAATTCCGATCCGTCCCTTGTGTCTGCCGAGGGGTGGGAAGGAGGCTCGAACGAAAGAAGGGGTCCTTTTTTGTTCCGGTTCCGCCCCCCCCCCACTTTAGTTCGTTCCATTTCCGATCCTTCCCTTGTGTCGGTCGAGGGGTGGGGAGGCTCGAACGCAAGAATGGGTCCTCTCTTGGCCCCAGTTGATCTTCCATTTTTCTGCATCTCCTGCATTCGTGGAGGGTTGGAGATGCTTGTACAGTATTAAGGTAAGAGACGCTCATATACACGGGGACACAGACAAGTAACATGGTTCGTCGACCGCTCCCCCTCCCTTTTAGAGTATTTTCCTTTGTGCCCACTCTCCTTCCTCCTCTTTCTGTGTGTCCCGCGTAATTGCCATTTCAATCCGTTTCCTTCGGATTCGGTCGCCTGCTTCATTCTCACTTCCGCTGCGTCGTTGAAACCGATTGGACAACCCTTCATGATAACTGATATTTGATGGAAAACAATCCCGGCTGACCTACCCTTCTGGTCCATCCTCGCATTACATTCATAATAATATAATATAATAATAATAATAATAATAATAATAATAATACCAATAATAATAATAATAATAATAATAATAATAATAATAATAATAGTTGCTCTGTTTCTTGCACCATAGTCTCTTCCAATTGCGGTTAGCGAAGTGGGGTCTGACTGCGGTGATGGCATCCCTCACTCCCCTTCGTGCACGGGGGTTTCCCTTCGTGATAACTGATACGAATTACCCACAATTTTCTTTTATATTTTTTTTCAAAGAAACAATTGCCCACATTGTCTTTCGCTGCTCTCATTCTCTGGCTATTCGTATGGCTCTCCCTACGTACATAGCCAAGTCTTTCCCTCTCTCTGTGTACTTGGGGTGGCAGAGGACTACCGAAAAAGAAGACGAGCAGGGAGAGACGACGTGGGAAATTGTCGACCGTCTGCTGATCGTGCTCTTGCCCAACGGGGGGTAACTGCTATTGTTGAGGCCGTTCTTTGAGACGGTGCGCCGCCACCCGTTTTGGTCTGGTGCGGCACTGTTGTTGATCTGGAAAATCTGTGGATTGATGCAATTTCGATTTTCAAGATTACCTG